TAGACCTGCATCATATATTTGATTTACAAATATTTTCTCCCAGTCTGTAGGCTGTTTTTTCGCTCTATTGATAGTGTCGTTGGAAGCACAGACGTTTTTAATTTTGAGGAAGTTCAATTTATGTTTTTTCTTTATTTACATGTGCTTTAAGTGTCATCTAAGAAGACATTGCCTAATCCAAGGTCACAATGATTTATGTCTATGTTTTCTTCTAAGAATTTTGTGGTTTTAGCTCCTATTTCGGTCTTTGATTTATTGAGTTAAATTTTTAATATGGTGTGAAATCGGGGTCCAAATCTTTCTTTTGCAGGAAGATATCCAGTTGTCCAAGCAACATTTGTTTAAATGTTCCCTATTAGATTGCCTTGGCACCTATTCCAAAAACCAACTGATCATAAATATAAGGGGTTATTTCTGGACTCTCAGTTCCACTCCGTTACTTTTCATGTCTAGCCTTATGCCAGTAAGTGTCTTGATTTTTGTAGCTCTAAAGTTTTGAAATCAGAACATGTGAATCCTCCAACTTTGTACTTTTTCAAGATTGCTTTGGCTTCTGGGATCCTTGAATCTCCATATGAATTTTAGAATCAGCCTGTCAGTTTCTCTAAAACAGGTAGCTGGAATTTTGATAGCAATTGCATCGAATCTGTAGATCAACTTCAATAGTAATGGCATCTTTTTTTTTTTCTTTTTTTTTTTTTAAAATATATCTTTATTGATTTCAGAGAGAGGAAAGGAGAGGGAGAGAGAGAGATAGAAACATCAATGATGAGAGAGTCATTGATCGGCAGCAGCCCACAACCCGGGCATGTGCCCTGACCGGGAATCGAACCCTGATCGCCTAGATCCTAGGTCAACGCTTAACCACTGAGCCACGCCCGGCCGGGCAATAATGCCATCTTAACAGTATTACGTCTTCTAATCGGTGAACATGGAAACATTTTTTCATTTATTTAGGTCTTAAGCAAATTTTTTTAAACGTTTTGTAATTCTCAGTGTGCAAATCTTCTCGAACTTCGTTTGTTACATTTACCTCCGAGTAAGTTATTCTTTTTTATGCTATCACAAATGGAATTGCTTTCTTAGTTTCATTTCTAGACTAATTAATTGCAAATGTATAAAAATAAATTGATTTTTGTGTATTGATCTTGTATCCTGCAACCTTGCTGACCTAACATTTTTCTCCTATTTGGAAGAAGTATAAAGATAATGATTAATTTTAGTCTTCTGATTAAGAACGTGTACCAGTTACCACGGTCTGTAGGTGCATCGGTCAGGTGCCTAACAGGAAACAGATGGCTCACTTAAATCAGAAAGACGAGACAGGGGTTTAATAAAGAGACTGTTTATAGAAGTGTGGGCAGGGTGCAGGAGAACCACGGGATAACTCAGCAGTCCAGGGCTCGTCATAACAGGGCCATTACCATCCCTGGGAAGGTTACCACTACCTGGAAAAAAGGGTTGTGTGGGGAAAGCCACCTCAAGGGGAAGAGCGAGCTTCAACTGAGAGACCCACCCGCCTGTCGTAACGTCGCTGGAAGGAGCCAGGACAGTGAATATGCCCTCACTCCGCTCCCCCTCTCCAGCTCCTGCCTGGACGCCCCACGGCTGGGCCCCATGGGAGTGGGAGCAAGTGAACCCACTGATGTGGTTCATACAGGACTGCGGCTGTAGACAATTCACCCACTTGGGGAGAAGAGGGCATGCGATGTATTCAGAGGGGCAAATGGGAGGTGCCCTGCATACTAGGTTAAGCCATGATAATGAGCAAACTCCTTCTGAATCATCCAGATGACGTACAAGGAAACAATAAAAGCCAAAATCAGGAACAGAGAAAACAAACACAACCCCGACAGCAATAATATCCAAGGCAAAGTTTGTTCTTAAAAAACAGTAATAAAATTAAAAATCTCTGATAAGACTAATCAAGAAAAAGAGGAGGCATGGGTAACTACTAGGTATTAAAAAAGAGATAGAACAACTTTATGCTAATAAATTCCTTAAAAATATAACTTTCTAAGTTGGGGGAGAGGATGGGCTTTAGGAAGGGACCTTCCCTCCTCTCTGGCCTAGACACTAGGGTGCTGACTGATGATCAGGGGGCTCCGTGAACATGGGGGTGAGCGGGCCTCAGCCACAAGGAGGCCCTGAATAAAGAACAGTGTGGACTGTGGCTCTAAGAGCAGCCATAGCTAATGGGAGTAGTTAGTTTTTAGATGCTGTAAGTTCCTCAACTTTCAGTAAAGTCCTGGCAGAAGTCACAGCAGTTCTTACCTCTGCTATGGGAAATTAAGAGTAGGTCTGGGTCCCTATTGGAGGTAAAGTAATTAAAGCAAGGGCAGCAAGTATCCTGTCTACCAAGGTGACTACAGAGGCTTGCCCTGGAACCACAGAAAATGATCAGCAGCTGAATTAACAAAGACTCTGGGCAAAAATAAAGTTGGAAGGTAAAACCATACAAGCCCCTAGTTAAAAGTCATCTTCTCAGCTATTTAGAAAAATGGTCAGTTCAAGGATGGGGCAAGGAATCATGAAACATCTTGTTACACCAGAAAGCAAGGAAGCTATCAAAGGCTGGAATTGTATTAACAGCACTCAGGAGAGGCTTAAAGAGAGGCTTCTACTGGTCAGATGTGCAACCATTTAAGCTTTGACAATATAATAATTTCAATGGACTGAAAATCATCAAATGTGTTTAAATCCAAGAGTTCACAGTATTTAAAAAACAAAAACATTGTCATCTTTGGAGGATGCTAGGGAATCTACTCATTACTTTGAAAACTGAAAAATAAAGGGGAAACAATCAAATACTTATCGTGATTTTCCTGTATAAACGATACCTCAAGGTACCCACATAGTTAATGAGGAGTATTCTAGCCAAATTAGCATATCACTACTTTGTAACCCCTTCTGAAATAACGGATCTGGGCAATGACCAACAAGTGACTCCTAGTAATAGAGACAACCAGACATATGTTGCTTTTAATTAAATTAACTGTACAACACTACTTATGAAACATTCTTGCAAAATAAAACAAAATTTAAAAATCTGAATCTGGTAAAGTCTGTAGCTTTTTCTTGTGTGTGTGGGTTTTTTTAATATCTTTATCAATTTCAGAGAGAGGAAGGGGGGGAGAGAGAGAGAGAGAGATAGAAACAACAGTGATGAGAGTCATCATTGATCGGCTGCCTCTGGCACGCCCCCTGCTGGGGATCGAGCCCACAACCAGGGCATGTGCCCTGACCAGGAATCGAGTCTCGATCTCCTGGATCCTAGGTCGATGCTCAACTGCTGAGCCATGCTGGCCAGGCTAAAACCTGTAGCTCTTAATATCAATTTACTACACACACACACACACACACACGCACACGCACGCGCGCACACACGGTTTCATTTTAAACAACACCAGGGGAAGGAATGAAATTATCAAAACACATAATATGACAAACTCTAAAAAACAACCTAGTTTCTTCAACAAACAAATTGCAATGAAAGTAAGTGAGAATTCAAAAGAAAGACCACACCAGTCACAGCCTGGGAGGAAATATTTGCAAGACACACATGATAGAGGACTATTTTCCAAAATATACCAAAAAACACTTAAAACTCAACAATAAAAAACAAACTATTAAAAAAGTGGGCCAAAGACCTTAACAGAGACCTCACCAAAGGAGATACACAAATGGCAAATAAGCCTATGAAAACATTCTCTCCATCCTATGTCATCAGGGAAATGTAAATTAAAACGAGACACCAAAACTCCCAAGTAAAATGGCGCAAATCCAAAACAGTAACACCACCAAACGCTGACAAGGCTGTGGAGCAACAGGAACTCTCATTCATTGCCAGGAATACAAAATGGTGCAGCCACTTTGGAAGACAGTGTGACGGTTTCTTACAAAACTAAGCATACCCTTACCATAGGGTCCAGCCGCAGCACTTCTTGGTATTTACCCACAGGAGTCGAAAACCTGCACACAGATACTTATAGCAACTTCATTCATAATTGACAAAACTTGGAAGCAACTGAGATGTCCTTCACGAGACGCATGGTTCAATAAACTGGTACGACCAGACAATGTGCTAAAAAGAAATGGGTTATCAATCCATGAAATGACAAAGAGGAAACCGAAATGCATATTACTAAGTGAAGGAAGCCGGTCTGTCAGGCTACATGCTGTATGATGCTCTGGAAAAGGCAAAACTGTGGGGAGGGTAAGCAGATCAGTGATTGCCAGGGAGTGGGGGAGGGGATAAATATGCAGAGGAGAGACGGTTTTTGGGGCAGTGAAACTATTCTAAATCTTTTTTGTCTGAAACACATTTCCTTCTAAATGTGTTTGGTGGGATATACAGAAGGCTGGCCGTGAGCTGAGTGCCTTTGACGCCGGGGTTATTGAAGATGGGTGATTAGTACATGGGGGTTACTATCCCATTGTCTCTACTTTTATTGTAAATGTTCTATAATTAGTTAAAAAAAAATCACTTCCTCCGAGGCCTTCCCTAACACCCTAAGGCAGGTTACCTCTCCCCACGGTTTTCCAGCACAGCACCCTATTTCCTTCACAGCACTGACCACAACACTATTTTGTATGGTCACTGATTTATTTCTCTCCACTACAATTTCGTGTCCACGAGAATTAAAACTCTGCCTTGTTCACCGCTAAACTGTAGGGCCGGGGCTGGCACACAGCGGTGCTCAGTGCATCGCTGTTGCATGGAAGGACGGATGGACAGATGGGAGGACTAAAGGACAGAAGCACAGGCTGGGGCAAGAACTAATGAAGAAATACACTTATAACAACACCTCCCCCAAGACACCAGAGAAGGGGAACCTTGAAAGAAGGGGAGATTCAATTACCGACCCCTGGGGTCTTTGGAGCCAGCAGACTTCAGGTTTAGTTGTTTCTCCAACTGTATGAGAGAAATAAACCAGGTTCACAAGATTTGAGCCATGAACCCTTTCTTTGAATGAAATCTCCTCAAACAAGCCAGTATGTAAAATAGAAAAACGTGACAGTCAAAAGCAGATTTATTGTTCTAGTCTAGTTTCAAAAACAGAACAAGAAAAGCATCCAGCAGTTACGAGGAATCCAGGAAAACCTGTCCCAGTAACGCCAGCTTCGAGGTAAAGGGCTGACTAGGGCAGCTGAGAAGCGGGACTCTCCGCCTGGCAGGCTTCTCCCTCGCCTCGTCGTGGGTCCCTGGTGAGGAGAATGTCCCTGGCCTTGCTGGGGGTTCCCATGGCCCTGAGCTTATAGTTTTCTGAAATCTTGACCTATTCCGTTTAAGAGAGTAGAATTCCCTCATCAAGTCCTCTACCTCCCACTGCTCTTCCTTCAGCCTCCGGCAACAGTGCAGGGCGGCGGGGTCAATGGGGTGCGCTTCTGTGTTGAAGATGTAGCCCCCAGCCCCCAAGATGCACTCCCCGTAGGGGGTGATCACTGCATCGAAGGTGGAACCATTGTTGTGAATGAAGTTGGATGGGTCAAACAGGAGGTAGAGGTATTTCACAGTCTCAGCCAGGAAGAAAGACTCCATGCGGTTGTCAAGCTTGTGGTCACGCAGGTCTTTGATCTGCCATGAGAGAGAGGAGAGCAAATCAGAAGAGCATCCCCGTGGGGCAGCGGAGGGCCTTTGGGCAAATCATTACCACAACTCTCAACTGGGCTTCCTGCTTCCATTCTTACCCTAAAGTATATTTATATCACTAGTCTTACCTGTCACACCTCCACAGAAAACCTCCAGTTGACACCTCACTTCACCAAGACTAAAAACCAAAGGCCAGGGCCTAACAGGTCCTTGGTGACTGGCCTCTCCCTCCCTGATCTCATCTCTTGCTGCTTGGTCGCTTGCTTTTGGAGGTTGGGCCACAAGGCCCTTCTGTTCTGTGATCTAGCAAGTATGCTCCCACCCCAGTTTCTTTTGGTCTGGAACCCTCTTCCTTCAGATATCATAGCTCGCTCCCTCACTTCTCCCGGTCTCGGATCAAATGCCACTTCCCTACCTGACCTGACAATTCCTACCCCCTTTATCCTATTGTTTTGTGACCACGAATGCAGACCTAATCATGCGCTTTAATGACATTGGGAAACGCAGCAGCATTTACTCAGCTAATCCTCTCCTGACGGGCATTAGGGTGGCCACCAAGTTTTCACTATTGTAAATAACTAACTAGGAGTCTTATGAAGAAAAATTCATACCGAGTCTATGATCATAGATGAATAAGTACTTGCTACAAATATTTATTTTAGCCTCTCAGAATTGGCAATACATTTTTTAAAAAACAAAACTAATTCTCAGTGGACATCTATTTTACACCAAAAAAATGTAACTAATGTACGGACTTAATGTACCAAGAATTATCATTCTCTTGCCCTGTTTGATGAAGGCCAAGGAGTCAGAAGCCTGTTCACATCATTCACATCATTCGCCTTGGAAGACCTCCAAGGGCTTCCTTTTCATGGAAATAAGCTGAGCATTCCTACGAAGGCCCCAATGGGCTTATCCACTTTGGCTTTTCACACGATACAACATATTGGAAACTAAAACATAACCATTGCTGTATTTTCCCCCTACATATATATGTCTTTTCTTTAAACATATGTACCTATGTTCTACTTATAGAATCACTTAATATCTTAGAAAAGGATTTTTTTGTTTTTAATCCCTTATCCTAAAAAACAAAAATAAAAATCTCTGTAGGCTCTTTGGTGAATTTTCTTCCAGACTATGTTCTTACACATCTGGCTTTCAAATGCCTGTCATGACTGTTTAGATCCTGCCTGCTGGGTCCTCCAAGGATGTGACATGGCTCTCACTCTTGACCCTTTCAATGCATTCTCCACAGAGCAGCCAATGATCTTTCTAAAATAAAATCAGACCATGTCATTGCTGTGCTGTAAATCTACCAAGGCATCCCACTCCAGGAAGAACAAAGCCAAGCTCTTCCCCACGGCTTATACAAAGCCCTGAGTGACCCAGGCCCTGCCTACTGCTGGGCCTTGACCTCTCACTTCCTCCTCGCTCACTCCACCCCAGCCACACTGGCCTTCTTTCTGTCTCCCAGGCACTCGCTCATGGTTTCCCATCCTAAAATGTTAGTTCAGGGCTTGGTCTTCCTTCATCACTGTAACCCTCTGCCTAGCGCAGGGCCTGGCCCATGGAAACACAGTCAATAAATATCTTGGAGACTAGTAAGGCTGTTCATTAAGGATCCCCAGGTTTGAATGTAAGGCTACGGGCCTCTGAATTTCCCTTCTTGAATCCATTTTGTAGGGCTTTTCAGAAAACTCACCCTTGCCAAGTAGCCTATTCCAACAGCTAAAGGATCTGATGCGGGGAGAACGGCAAGGGAGTGGAGTCAAGACCCTGGCAACTAATACTAGCTCCACTTCTACTGACCATGTGACCTTTAGCAAGGCTCTCCGCTGTTCCTCAGCCTCTCCATCTGTGAGATAAAGGTATCGCACACATCTCAAAGGTCCCTTTCCAGGGCTAATATTCCAGAACTCCCAACGGGCCACCCTTAACAAGGCTCTTTAGTAGCAGGCAGACATTTCCCAATCTTTGGAACCATGGAAATACTTACCGTTGCAAATCCACACTCCACCTTGCTGATTTTTTCAATGGACTCCACAGCATCTCTCCCAAGTTCTAGGAGGGTGGGATCCCCCGTAGCACGGTAGAGGTACATGGCGCTCTCAATGAGTTCTGCAAGATCCAAAGCAAACCCTCCTCACCCAGTGGCTGATCAGGGAAGGTTCAGGCTCAGTTGCGGCAGTGAGGGACTCCTCCCCTCCATACCTTGTCTACAGGGCCCCTGCTAGGAGGAACGTGGGACAACTCACTCAATGCTGAGTTTCCAGAGCCAACAGACCCAAAGCCTGAAGCTCAGTGGAGACTAGCATTAAAACTGACCAAGGAATGCCCAGCCATTATGGCTCAGTGATTGAGCATTGACCTAGGATCCAGGAGATTGTGGTTCGATTCCAGATCAGGTCAGGGCACATGCCCAGGTTGCGGGCTCAATCCCCAGCAGGGGGAGTGCAAGAGGCAGCCGATCAATGACAACTCTCTCATCATTGATGTCTCTCTCTCTCCCTCTCCCTTCCTCTCTCTGAAATCAATAAAGATATATATTTTTAAAAAAACACAAAAAGAAACCTGACCAAGGAAGAAACAGGAAGCCAGTCTCTGGGACAAAGGAGGCGGCAGAGGCGGCTCCCTCTCCCCCAGTATCTGTTCCCTCCTTTTCCCTTAGTAACGGGATCCCTAACTTTCACCAAGTACATGGCTGCCAAGACTAACAACCATTCCCAGCAGCCAGGTGTGGGATTAGGGTCTCTGACACTGTAGAGGGTCATAGATAAGGCCAGAACATGAAAGAGAAATATTTCTATCTTAATGAAGCTACTATGGTTTTTTTCCTCACTCACAGCTCCACCTAATCCTAAAACTTAAAGAATATGAACTTGTCATTGTAAGGCCCTTTCTGAGATGGGATGGAACAAAACATGACGGCCAACATGTTCAAGAGCCAACCTTTGATCTAGCGAAGATGCAGCCATCTGTACACTGTGCCCAGAACAAGGCAGCAGTCTTGCCCTAATCTACACAACTGGATTTTGATGTTCAGACAGGGCCCCATCTGAAGATGAATATTAGCCAACAGGAGTTGGTCCAGATGAGAATATTTATTCTGGAGAAAAGAAAACCCAGGAAAATGTGCTTATTGTTTTCAAATATCTGAAAAGCTTTATGGAAATGAAAGATCTGACTTCAAGGATGGCCCCAGGGGGTGGAAGCTACCACTGAATGGGCTGTTCGACTTCACCTGCCCTTCCTCAGAGGAGAGAACTGTCCCCTCCCCATACCAACCTCTCCTCCTGATTACGCCCTTCTCTGTTTCCTCCTTGATCAGCACTTTCCTCTCTTTTGATTCATTACTGAAAACTCTATTTCTTATTTTTGAAGAAAAGATCTCTGCCCATCTCCCCAGGTTTCTCCTCCCCCACCCCCCACCCCAAAGGCCTCTAGACAGTTGCTAATCTAAATGCTCTTATTCTAAGACACAGACCGGGATGTGTTCACCGGTGGGTGAGCACACTGTGCGTGTTCAAGAAAGAAAAGACAGTGCTGTCCCAGGAAGCCTTCCCTTCTGCTTCTAGCAGCTGGCTGGACTGGTGCACCCAGGGCCAGCCATTGGTTTTCTGTTCCTCACACATGGGCCTACGTGTACTAGTAATTGCTTTAATTTCCTGAATATCCCGCCAACTCTTTAGAAGGCGGTTTAGATGTGGACTTAGGGTGGGGTAGTCTCTGTGCGTCAACACTGCATCTCAGAGGTACATACCAGAGCACAAGGCACCGGCTAATCTAATAATAGAGTAGTACCTTATCTCCCGTTTGCTATTGTTTTAGGGTAGGAAGGGTGACTGGACCAAGGCATTCCTGGATCCCTGGATGTGGTGCCTTACTTTCCACTGATGCCTTCCTGCCAGCCTTTCCTGCAAATGTAACAGGGTGCCTCTGTGAGTAGTGAGCTCCCTGACACTAGTAGTAACCACACAAAGACTAGACAACCACTTGACACAGCTCTTAAAAGGGGATTTCAATTAGAAGACATCTCAGGGTTCCTCTAATCCTGAAAATGCACAAGCCTAAGTCTCACATTTAGTCCCAAACTGTCTTCATTTTATCTACTGATATAACACTGGAAATGATACCTTCTGAGAGTTAAAAAAAAAAAAAAAAGCCATGAGAATAAATGCATGAGAAATACCAAGAACAGCCAACTCTAAGGAGTCAGAAGAGATTGCACTTCCCAGTGGCTGTTTTACTGCCTCTTCTGTGCCCTCCCCAAGTCCTGCAACAACCACTTGTGCTGGAGGAGGAAGGAAATGGGGTACAGAAAGGCCTGTCCCACAGCTAAAAGGCTTTCAGATGAAGGTGTGAAAAGGCTAAGACAATGGTAACGCAGCCTATTTTGGGGTGGGATGACTGTGTGTGCTGACTAAGCTTCCTTCCCCTGTTCCCCTTTCCCTTCCCTCCTGGCAACATTTAACCTTCCAGCAGTGAATCTGAGGATGGGAGCTGGAAAGGAACTTAACGACTTTATCTAGCGTGTAGGTCCTTTCTTCTCCGAGCTGCAAGTGAGGTGGATGAGGTCAGATGATTCATTCCTAAAGTCCGTAGTTCCAACATTCCTCACTGTGGGAGCTGAACTTACCTGACCCACTGATGCAGGAAGTTTGCCTGAACTTCTGAAATCTTGATGGCAGAAACTGAAAGGAGCCAATGTGGCTTTTCCCATCTTACCCCCCTGCTCATGTCTGAGAGAGCATTAAGACTTGGTTAGGAGACCTGGCCTGAGTTCCAGACGTAGCTCCTATACTCACAGCCTTGGGCAAATCACTTCAACCCACCAGGCCACAGTTTCCTTATGTGAAAAGGTGAGGATAAATAATTCCTTGCGGGGGGGAAAAAAGGACCTCTGAACACTTGAGGCATGGAAACCTCTAAAGACATGAGGATTTGGGGTCTGGAGAGCCAAACTCGACAGCCAAAACCCAACAGCCAGAGATGCTGCTTACCCGGCCGAAGTGGGTAACCCTCTCGTTTCTCCACCGTGTATCCCTGAGGAATGTTGTAGAATTCCGGGAGCCCCCCAAACTGCTTCCATACAGTGTAGTAGTTAAGGAAGGTCCTCATGGCATTGTCAATGTCCCCAATGAGGCTCTGTGGGAGAGAACTGGTTGTCAGGCAGGCAGCTACCAGGCATACAACCCCACAACCTCAGAGAAAAGTGAAAGCCTTAGAGCCAAAAAGGCCAGCAATCAAACCCTGGGGGGGCCATTTACTCGCTCAAACCAGACACGTACTTGCTCTGAGCCTCATCTATAAGATACAAAATATATCTCATACATTGTTGTGAGGGACAGAGGTTGTATACAAAGTCCCCGCTGCCAGTCTGTGCTCAGTCAATGCTGGCCACTAACAGTTTTTAAATAGGTAAGTCAGCCATCTGGTTCAAAATCTTAAGAACAGGAAAAAGGTTGACTGTACTAAGTCTCACTTCCGCCCTCCACCCCAGCATATAAGCATTTTGTATTAGTCTGTAAACATAAGCACATATGTATGAGTATATATTATTTCCCTCACATTGAATATAGCTGATTAAATAGACTGTTCTGCAGTTCCCTTTATTCATTTAACAACCTATCTTGATTTTTTCCATGTAGGTATATAAAGAGCTCCTTCCTCCTACTGCATAGAATTCCATTGCTTGGAACATAATTTAATTAGGTCCTTATGAACGGCGAGTTGGCTTGGTTCTGATCTTTTGCTATTTGCTATATCCATGCTGCAATAAATAACCCTGTACATATGTCACCTCAAACACATGCAAAGTGTATCTGTAAGATAAATTTCCCAGAATTAAGACTGCTGGATCAGAGGATATACGCATTTGTCATTTTACTAGCTGTGGCTAGGTAGCTATTAGTATTAACATAAGCTCAGAGAAACACCTGACCTTCTTGACATCTCCATTGGATGTATCAGGGATAGAACAAACTTGACTTTTCCTAGGCAAAATTCTTGGTTCCCTCACTGTCCTACCAAGTTATCTCCCTACTCCTGCCTTTCTTCCTTTTAGTAAATCTACAGAGTTACTCCGGCCAGAAACCTGGTGGTTGTCCTTGACTTCTCCTTTATCTCCCACCCCACATCCATTCCATCAGCAGTTCCTGTCAATTCCATCTCCAAAACATCAAGAATTTTCTCTCTTTATCTCTAGAGCTACCAGCATCTCACACTCGGATGACCTCAAAGGCTTCCTTGCTCATCCCACCATTTGTCCTCCTGCACTTTCCAGGCCCACTGTCCCCAAGGCAGCCCGAGTAACCGTTTTACGACACACTCCAGACCTCAGGGCTTCTCAAGGGCTCAGCATGGAGCTGAGACGACTCGCCATGGCCCTCAAGGCCCTGCAAAAGCTGGTCACTGCTGACACCTTCCACTGAGCCTTTTCTTCCCTGGACTGTGGCCATGCTGCTTTTGTTTGTTTCCGATAAACACTTGACTCTTTCCTGCCTAGGACCTTCACACATATTTCCTCCCTCCGGAACATGACCCCGCCCCCAATTCTTCAAGCATTGGCTTTACTATCATCACATCTGAGAGGCCTTCTCGTCTAAAGTTGGTTCCCATCCAATATTCTATTTTAGCCTCTCATTTTTTTCTTTCATTGCAATTTATTATTTTATCTATTTATCTGTTTTAAGTTCTTCTTTGTGTCTCGCCCCCATAAACTTCATGAGGGGAGCAGGGCCTGGAACACAGAAGGCATGCAGATAGTTGATGAATAAGTGAATGAACAAATCTAACATCTCTAAGCCTCCCTTCTTCATTTATGAGACTCACTTAGCTCAGCATGTTGTGGTGCTTCTGAGTAAAGCACCTGACACATAAATCTTTTTTTTAATCCTCACCAGAGGGTATTTTTTCCACTGTTTTTCAGAGAGAGTGGAAGGGGAGAGAGAGAGGATTGGATGCCTACCCTACATGTGATCAAGCCTGCAACCAAGGACCGTGCCCTTGGCTGGAATCGAACCTGGGACCCTTAGGTCTGAAGGCCGACGCTCTAACCACTGAGCCAAACCGACAAGGCATAAATCATTTTCTCATAAATATTTATTATGAACTACTTAAAAATAAGAAAGCTCCAAAAATCTCATTAAGAAATACATTTCCAATAAAACTGCTTTTAGGTTTTAAAATTTTTCATCAAAAAACTGTAAGCTATTAGTTATTTTAGTCACTTATAAATTAATAATAACTGTATTCAAAGAAAACAAATTGAATATTCAGAGCCTATGGTCACAGGAATTTTTAAATATTTTTAATTTCTATGTACTACATCTAAATTTTGTTACAGAGGCATATGATAGGGTACCAATAAGGTTTTTTCAGCATAAAATATAATAATTAGAATAAAGTTCTGTTGGGGAGTAGAATGGAAATACGAATTCGAGGAGAAAAAGGAATTGTATGCAACTATTCAAACACATGAGATTAAAAATATGCAAGGGGTGCTTTAGTTTTTAGTCTTTCAAAATTCTTCTAGGGAGCATTCAAGCAATAAAATTTGAAGATCCTGGGAGAGCGAGATCAGTTTTTAGTGTTATTAATAAGTTCTCTGTGAGTCTGTCACCCCATTTGTATAATAAGGGGGTTGGCTAAAAGTACATAATGTTAAATAAATTACAGTGTATCTATTCAATGGAATACATGCAGCTGTTTAAAAAAGGCAAAACTAGCCCTGGCAGGTGTGGCTCAATAGTTGGAGCACTGGGACTCACACCAAAGGGTGGAGGGCTTGATTTCTGGTCAAGGGCACATGCGTGGGTTGCAGGTTCAGGAGGCAACCAATCAATGTGTATCTCTCACATCGATGTTTTTCTCCCTTCCACTCTCTCTAAAAATCAATGGAAAAAATATCCTGGGCTGAGAATTAACAACACAGAAGGTAAAACTAAATATGTGGTATCAATAAAGAATGATCTCTAAGATATAATTGGTGAAAAAAAAAAATGTATATGTTCCTATATAGATAAAGAAAAAAGAGGGATATAAATCTTCATATCTTTACGTATGCGGATTTCTGGAAATATATACAGATAACGGGCTGGACTGGGGAGAGGGTCCTAAGGTGGGGCTCAAGACTTCCTTTTCAAGGTATTCCCTTTTGTGCTTTTTAAATTTACCACCACATCCATGTTATTACCTCTTCTTTGAAATAAAAAAACAAAAACTAATTTATAAAAATAATTTGGTACACCGAGGGGGTCAACTAGATGGCTCTAAAATCCCTTCCAGCTGCAAGTGTCAGACTGTGTAATGGAAAAACAAAATGATGGCAGACAGAGCGGCCCAGCTGCTTTCACGCCCTTTCTCAGGCCTGCTGTCAGGAATGAGGAGATCTGACAGAAATGCCTAGCAGAGCAGTGGTTGTTGCCAGTGTCTGTTACTGCTCAGCCTGGGAAGACACTCTCCCCCTTATATTAACAATGTTCCATAGCAGACTGGAAAATTCAGTGAGACAGAATCTTAAATCTGTCTAATTCACTCTGTCTCTCCTCCATCCCTAAGCCATCCCTCCAAAAAAAGTACTCAGCAACTAAACTACTTTCTTTGACTTTTATATCTGAACAAGCTTGCTTTGCCAGTTCCATAGAAAAATGGCCACCCTCCTGACTGTTCCTACCTGCAGACCAGGCCAGTAGGCTTCCAAGGACTGGAAGACCGGCATGGACACAGTCCCCTTGTACATCTGCACCCACAGGTACCAGTCATCAAAGCGGGTGTAATTCCGAATGGCTTTGTTGTATTCTGCAGTGAAGATGGAATAACGGACATGTCAGTGATTGGGGACATGACAGGCAGCCCTTGGCAACAGAAGCATGGACTTAAACTTTTGAAGGATTATACATGATGGTCTAGCCTCAAAGCAGACTAGGATGCAATGAGGCAGAGAGGAAGGAGCCTGGGGTCTGGAGTCAAACTTCCAGGCTCAAATTCTAGCTCCAGCTTTACCACTTGCAAGCTGTGACCTTGGGCAAGTTCCTCCCTCTTAAGCCTCAGGCTTATTATCTGTAAAGTAGGGAGAGGAATGTTATATACCTCATAGGGTTGTTCAGTCATCTATTCACCCAACAATATTCACTAAGCACCCACCTAACACAAGGCACCCAGGGGTGGCAAACAAGACTAAGAAGGTTCTCAGTCCTCAGGGAGCTTACATTCTAGAGAGAACTTGAACCTATACCTGTATTATAAATCCATGAGGACCAGGACTTTGCTTTGTTGGTTTCAGAATCCCCAACACTAAGATAGTAATATATATATATATATATATATATATTTTTTTTTTTTTAGAGAGAGAGAAAGAGGAAGGGAGAGAGAGAGAGAGACAAAACATCAATGTGAGAGAGACCCATCGATCAGTCACCTCCCAATGCAGCCTGACCAGGGATCGAACCTGTAACCTGAGTATGTGCTCTGACTATGAAGCAAACCAGCAACCTTTCAGTGCACGGGACGACATTCAACCAACTGAGCCACACAGGCGAGGGTGATAGTACATAATAAATATGAGTAATACTGAGTGAGTGAAGCACCAAATACACATGCAAATAAATAAGAATCTCAAATAGTGTTTAAGGAATAAATAAAATCATCCATGTTCAGTGCTTGGCACAGCACTTGACACATCAATGGTACTCAATAAATATTTGTTGAACAAATGAATAGTAGCTATAATAACAGTTATTAGGTGCTCAACAATTCCTCAATATCATTATTAGTAGTGTCCAAGGACCTGGAGGGTAAAATATTTGTATTCAACAGGCATTAATCTATGCCCCACCTCATGCAAAGCATTGTGGGAAATAGAGATGAAAAAGGCATGGATGCTGTAACAGTTGACTGCAAGAGAGAAGCTGAAGGACATAAATTCTGAGGAAGGATTAAGCTACTTCTTGGCAAGGTGACATTTAAGCTGGGCCTTGAAGGGTAGAATTTGGGCACATGAAAACAGAAAACGAGGTATTCCAGGCAAAGGAAACACATGTGCAATGGCCAAGAAATAAGAAGTCTAAGGCCACACACAAAGAGCAGTGTGGTTCAGTTGTCTCTTGCAAGAAGGTGGCAAGTGGTGTAGTGGGCATCACGGGAGCAGCATATGTCCGTATTAGCTTTGAATGCAGACTTAGGTATTCAAAACTGATTGTCTACGCACTTGGGAGCAACTGAAAGTTTATAAATAAAGCACATGTCAACAGGAACAATCATGAGAAAGCCCCCTTACCCTGCTTTTACCTAGGAACATAGCCATGAGCTTTGTATCCTGAAGCAGGATGGCTCCTTTCACCAGGTACTCAAAGTAGGAGTCCACACCAGCCCCGATGCCCGCGTCCTGGGCCACCCACTTGCCAGTGAGCACATCAATGTGGTTGCCAACCTAGAAGAGAAACAGGTAGTCCCAATAGAGGGCCCACGATAAAACAAGGACCTCCCTGCACCCCTTACTGCCTAGTGAGATGTGAGGCAGGCAACCCAGTGCTTCTTCAGAGACATGCAGGCTATCAGGATATAGGGTTGGGGGCAAGGGTGGACCATGCCCAGCTCTCCTGCATATCTGTACAGTGGAGATGCACATCATGCACATTTATGAGGACTTAATATCCACACTGGGCAAAAAATGAAAAACAGTGATTTGGAGGTTTATGCCCTGTCTAGAATGAGTATGAGCTGGGAGATGAGAACTTGCTGTTCCCACAATCTGTCTTAGATTTCTCAGAACTCCACATGTGATTCCAATGTCTAAAGACACAAGACATATTTTACATATTTCCATAAAGCAACTCTGGGAGTACAACCAAGAAACTGATGGAGTGGTTACTTGTAAGGAGAGGAACTGGGTAGGGGGGCAGGAGTCAGAGGAGACTTCACAGATGCACTGGGTGACCTTTTTTGTATCCTTGTGAACCATGTGACTCGTAAAACCATTTTAAAATAAAATCTAAAACATTTAAATGAAGAGGTATTTTGTCCATATAACTTAGAACCTGATGGAAGCTGACAACTTCATCTGTTACTCAATCAAAGCAACTGCTAACTGTTCTGTTAGGTTGGTTTTCCAGGGAGCAGACCCTAAGCAAGGAAGACTGCAAGTAGTTGATTTTGAAGGGGAGTCCCCGGAAACGCTGGTAGAGGAGGAGTAAAGGGAGGTAGGGAAAGGAGGCAGCCCATAAAGGGTGTGCCATCAGGCAAGCTACCACCATGGGAACTGGAGCTCAATTCCAAGGGGCAGCTCTGGGAGTCAACATAGAGCAGGAGCCTCAGTATTATTTCACCCGTGGGGTAGAGAACTGGGGTGATTATCCGCAAGTTCTCATCAGTATCTGTCACTGATTGAGAATTGCTCCAGGGTTAGCATTAAGTCCTGGTACTTCCAGTCAAAGGAAAACAGCAGGATCCAGACACCAGAAAAATCTGGTAGGCAAAGAGACATGGATAATGGCGGTTGGAAGACAGGCCAGTGTGCACAAAAATGGAAAGGGCTGAGAAGATAGAAGCAGGGCACCCAGAGAGTCTGCTACGGTTCCAGGGCTAGAGAAAAAACTGCCTGTGTTGGACTTAATAACAGAGTTACTATAGGTTTCTAGTGAGGCACCTTCCTAAGGGATTTTCAAGGATTGCTCACAGGAGTTTCACTTTTCAAGCTGACTTAGAACTAGACTTTGCATAAAATGTGCCTCTACCTGAGTCACTTTCAGTAAACCGTCTTTATAAGTTACAATGACTCAGCAAAGGATGTATAAATACATCATCATCACTGCTGAAGCAACTGTGGATCAGACAGGTTGAGTGGCCTGCTCAGGATCACACAGTTTCGATATAGAAAGGTTTGGCTCAAACCAAATTCTGACTAATCTAATGGTATTTCCTGGATAGTTTTAGCTCAGTTACTGTAAATTTCACTGGATTGCCCAGTTTAGGAGCTGAAACTGACCTTAGAGATCAAGTGGCCTGAGTGTGTTAAGTTTCCATGGGTTAATAGGTATTAGAGAGGAAAAGGAAGCTCTGGGGTCAAATAAGCTTGGGAAATGTTGAGTTAAGCAAAGTTGAGTAGATTTATTTTTTATAGAATTTAATAACATTTAACCTGCTCATGTTCATTATGACTCTCCAAAAAAAAAAACCAAAAAAAACCTATATATAGTATTCCCCAAACTTAATTGACTGGGAATCACTTTTTCATGGAATAGCCATTCATCATTTCTCAGAACCAGTGTTCTAAGGCACACAGTTTTACAAACAAAAATAGACAGTGAAAATGAGGACCAGATGGGCTGACCATCTAAGGGGGCATGAAGCGTACCACCCAGTCCCTAGCAATCGAAGAAGTTTAAGAAGTCAAAGCTTAACACAGCCCCTTTTCCCTGCCAGAGGATGTTCTCTCATGCTCTCTTCTCTCTGAGCCAAAACATGAATTGGATGCTTGGTCTACTTTCGGCATCATGAGCCTAAGTGCTGGACCACCCCTGAGGTCACCTCAGTTGCCTCTGGCTGGACTGTAACTTGCTACTCAGAGCCCTGAGCCTTGTAAGCAGGGGCCAAGGTGGCTCACTTGACTGAGACAGGAAGGGTGCAGCCAACCTACCAGCCCAATATCTGACCGGCTCTCCCAGAGACGCATCAGGGCCACTCTGGCCACGTCTTCAAACACAGGGTCACCAGTGAGGCTGCTTAGGGTGGCGAATTCCACAATGAAGGTCCCAATCCCTGCCGTACAGGTAACAGGGGTCTCTCCCGGGTTCACACCATGAAGCAGGTTCACAGTTCCATATGGCATGCCGGTGGGGGTCTGAAAGGCTGAACAACCATAAATTATGAGCCCAGACAGCAGCGGGGAAGAAGGAATGGTTGGATATAGGCCCAAAGCCTGAGGCCTTGGCCACCACTTCCCTCTTTATCTCCTGGACGATCTACTATAGACTGAGCCAGAGAAGGAAGTATGTCACTGGAGGGCCCTTAGTGGCCACCTAAGTCAGATGATGTCAAACAGTGGTCCACATGACCCTTGGACTCTTGGCCATGACAAGAAAGAAAGCAGTGGGCTGCACTCTAGGTTGTCACATGCCACACATGCTCACTTTAGTTATAACAGAGCTATTTTTACTTATTTTAAACTTTACCTTCAAAGGCCAGGCAGGCAACTTAGTGTGAAGCAGGTGTTTAGACCATGGGGAGTCGTGGGGCTTGTGGCACACTGAAAAGCATGCCCGATTAGAAGCCATTCATATGCTTTTTAATTTTTTCTTTTAATTTTATTGAAACATAACTGACATACAGCATTGTATAATTTTAAGGTATATAGCATAATGACTTGACATATATATTGTGAAACAATTACTACAATAAGTTTAGTTAACCTCCATCATCTTGTACAGATACAAAAAGAAAAAAAAATTTTTTTTCCTTGTGATGAGGACTTTTCGGATCTACTCTCTTAGCAACTTACAAAAACGTCATATAGCAGTGTTAACTATTGTCATCATGTTGTATAGTACATCCCAATTCTTATTTATAACTGGAAGTTTGTATCTTCTGATTCTCCTCATACACTTTTTAAACACTATTTTGACATGAAACATCTACAGCTCTAAACACAGGAGCCAGTATGAGATCCCAACTTTAAATAAAGAGTTTAGGGGCCAAATTATTATTTTAATGGACATAAACCACTAAACCACTGAGATGGTCCAACCCTCAATTTACAGGTAGGAAAAGTCAAGCTTGCAAAGAAGTAACTCAAAGGTCACACAGAAAGAGCCAAACAGAGCTGGGGTGAGAATGCCTGCCGTGGTCCCACTCCCTGTCCCTCTCCCCACAAGCCCAATGCCCTGCCCACCCCACCCCAGTACTTTCAGATTCAAAGCAAGGAATGACACAGGCAGCCATTCCTCTCCAGGCCAAAAGGTCAAACAACTCAGAGCAGCCTGTTTGTCACCAAATTGTGAACAAAGTCATCAAAGCTTCCAAGAACTACAACGTTCAGCAGCTTTGCTATAGACGAGAAACTTGTTATCTGGAAGGCATGAGTGGCAAGCAAGGAGAATGCAGGTCACAGCCAAGAAGGGCTCAAAGGAATATTTCTGAAAAATCAAGCAGTGCTACAGAGGGGGAGTGACAAAATTATATTTCATGGCTTCAGTGGTAGATACACTGGTACTGGTTCCAATATGCACTTTTCAATTTGGTTATTTCTCAGTACAAAATTTTCTTAAATGACATACAAAAGAAAAGAGCAACCAGGCAGAGTTTCCTCTAGGGATGAATCACATTGAACACGATGTTTGTAAGGAGACACTCAGGCAGTGAGCCATGAGTGAGACCTGAGCTCAGATCGCTCACTCTCCTCAGCTCTTCCCTAAGGACAAGAGGCAAGTACTGTGTGAAAGGGAGAAGTGAGGTGGCCAAGAGGCTGGTGGAAAACGTAGCGTGATGTGTTTGGGTGTGACCAGTCCTCAGCCTCCACCACACCCTGAAGGGAACACAGTGTCCAGCGTGTCTAGCTGATGCTGCTGAGCCCAGCTACTGCCCCGCCAGACAAACTCACTGAGGCTTGGTCTGCAGCCCTGCACACAGCTTAGCTAAAAATAAGTCCCTCCCATTTCAACAGTATTTGTGTTCTCCAAGCACTTTCTCCTTTTTGATCTTGTTTCATGCCTCCCAAAAACCCAATGTTACTAAACAGTGAATGGGTTAACAATGAGATCAAGGAAGATATCAAAAGATACCTTGAAACAAATGAAAATGAGAACATAACAACCCAAAAATCTATAGGACACAGCGAAAGTAGTCCTAAGAGGGAAATTTGTAGCAATACAGGCTTACCTCAAGAAACGAGAAAAATCTCAAATAAACAATCTAACTTTCCACATACAGAAACTTGAAAAAGAACAACCCCAAAGAAAAAGAAAAAAAACAAAGCCCAAAGTGTGCAGAAGAAAGGAAATAAACAAAATAGAGTGTATAAAAACAATACAAAAGATCAATGAAACCAAGAGCTGGTTCTTCGGAAAGATAAACAAGTTTGATACACCTTTAATGAGACCATCAAGAGAAAAAAAAAGAACCCAAATAAAATAAAAAATGAAAGGGAAGTAACAACTGACACCAAAGAAATACAAAGGATTGTAAAAATATATATATTACAAACAACTATATGCCAACAAACTGGACAATTTGGATGAAATGGATAAATTTCTAGAAACATACAATCTTCCAAAACTGAATCAGGAAGAATCAGAGAATCTGGAAAGATTACAACTAATGAAATTGAAGCAGTAATAAAAAAATCTCCCAACAAACAAAAGTCCTAGACCAGATGGTTTCACAGTTGAATTTTACCAAACATTCAAAGAAGAACTAACACCTATCCTTAAACTATTCAAAAAAATTCAAGAAGAGGGAAGACCCACCCTGCAAGCTCACTTTACTAGGCCAGCATTATCCTAATTCCAAAACCAGATAAAGACACTACAAAGAAAGAAAATTATAGACCAACATCCCTAACGTACATAGCTGCTAAACTCCTCAACAAAATATTAGCAAAACGGATCCAGCAATACATTAAAAGATCATAAACCATGATCAAGGGGGATTTACCCCAGAGATGCAAGGTTGGTACAATATTGGCAAATCAATAAATGTGATACACCACAGAAACAAAATGAAGGATAAAAACCAGATAATCACATCAACAGAGGCAGAAAAAGCATTTGATAAAATCCAGCACCCATTTATGACAAAAAATTCTCAGCAATGTAAGAATAAAGGGAACATACTTCAAAGTAATAAAGGCCATATATGACAAACCCACAGTCAACATCATACTCAATGGGCAAAAACTAAAAGTTTTTGCATTTCCCTTAAGATCAGTAACAGAACAGGGATGTCCACTTCCACCACTCTAATTCAACACAGCACTGGAAGTTCTAGCAACAGCAATCAGACAAGAAGAAATAAAAGGCATCCAAATTGGAAAAGAGGAAGTAAAACTGTCATTATTTGCAGATGACATGATGCTGTGTATAGAGAACCATAAAGATTCCACCTAGCCCAGCTGGGCTTGGCTCAGCGGTTGAGCATCGACCTAGGATCCAAGAGATCGGGGTTCGATTCCCGGTCAGGGCACATGCCCGGGTTGCGGGCTGCAGCTGATCAATGACTCTCTCATCGTTGATGTTTCTATCTCTCTCCCCCTCCTTTCCTCTCTCTAAAATCAATAAAGATATCTTTAAAAAAAAAAATGATAGCTTTAAAAAAAAAAAAAAAGATTCCACCTAAAAACTACTAGAACTGATACATGAATTCAGTAAAGTAGCAAGATACAAAATCAATCCAGCAATCAGTTGCATTTTTATACACCAATAATGAACTATTAGAAAGGTAAACTAAGAAAACCCCATTTACAATTGCATCAAAAACCTAGGAATAAATTTAACCAAGGATGCAAAAGATCTGTACTCAGAAAATTATAAGACACCAAAGAAAGAAACTGAAGAAGATACAAGTAAGTGGAAGCATATACCATGTTCATAGATAGGAAGAATTAACATCAATAAAATGTCCACACTACCCAAAGCAATCTATAGATTCAACACAATTCCTATCAATATACCAATGGCATTTATCGCAAAACTAGAACAAATATTCCAAAAATTTATGTGGAACCACAAAAGACCCTGAATAGCCACAGCAATCTTGGAAAAAAAGAACAAAGTTGGAGGAATCATGCTACCTGATATCAAACTATACCACAAGGCCACAGTAATCAGAACAGCATGTTACTGGCATAAAAGCAGACATACAGATCAACGGAACAAAACAGAGAGCCCAGAAATAAACCCACGCCTTTATGGTCAATTAATATTTGACAAAGGTGGAAGGGACATACGATGGGGCAAAGATAGCCTATCAATAAATGGTGATGAGAAAACTGGACAGATATGTGCAAAAAAATGAAACTAGACCACCTTCTTACACTGTACACAAGAATAAACTCAAACGGATGAAAGACTTAAATGTTAGACTGTAAACTATAAAAATCCTAGGAGAAAACATAGGCAGTAAAATCTTGGACATTTCTTGGAGCAATATTTTTTCTGATATATCTCCTCGGGCAAGGGAAACAAAAGAAAAAATAAACAAATGGCACTACATCAAGCTAAAAAGTTTTTGCACAGCAAAGGAAACCATCAACAAAATGAAAAAACTCACTGAATGGGAGAACATATTCACCAATGATACATGTGATAAAGGGTTAATATCCAGCAATGCCACTCTCATCTCCAGCAAGGGAATCAGGACCTATTGGACTTCATCTCCCCTCATGTCAGTGCAGGTCTTACCTGGGAGGAGCTTTCGGGCCGCCTCTTCAGCCATCCTCAGGAGAGGTCCAGAACAGGGCCATCCGGCTTCTACTTCCACCCCAGCCTTCTTCGATAGCAGGTGAGCAGACAGAAGTCCTCCTACCACTACAGATGGTACAAAAAGCAAGTGTCAGAGTTCCAAGGGCCAGTGTTTTCCTTGTGCAAATGAAATCTAAACACTCTCACTAGTGGCTCACTGGGAAGGGGCTAGAGCCATCTAGTGAAAGAGAGTCCCTTATTCCCACATATCGGCACAGTGTTAAGTTTACAGAGTTCTGTTCTCTTGGTGGGCCACAAAAACGGATTTTTTTTTTTTTTTTTTTTT